CTCCACTCTGCTATTTTATTTGTTTATGTCTTATGCTTTTATGATTCTGTAAACTTCTTGCTTTTATGTTGCTTTTACTCTACTATGTACAGTGACCTTGAGTGTTTTGAAAGGCGCTTTCAAATAAAATGTATTATTATCATTATTATTATTATTATTATTATTATTATTAAAACACAAAAATATAAAGCCAAATATTGTACCTATGTTTGTTGTTGCTGGTGTTTGGAATTAGGACGCTGCGGCTGTTCATATGTATATTCAGCAACTGTATGTGCAAATAAAATATGCTGCAAAGCACAAATATGGCTTCGGGTCTGCCGTGGAGTTTCACATAAGCATTTTGCAATTTTCCCGAATTTTGCAGTATTTGGGAAATGAAGCACACTGAGAGATACAGCTAGGCAGGAAGTTTTTAACTTGACTGAAGCAAGACAGCAAAAGTAAGAGGGAATTGATTTCAATGTTTTTCACATGTGTGTCAGGGTTCCTTGACCCAGTGTTTCAGTTGGACTTCGTCACTGTTCAGTTCCCATGTATGTTTCCTGTTTTGTTGTGTTAGCCTTTTTGTCCGTGTGCATTATGTTTTACTTCATCTGTGTCAGTAGTTAGATTTAGTTCAGCTGTAATCTCACCTGTTTCTAGTCATGGTGAACCGTTGGGTGAACATGGGTTCCATGCTTTGTGTTTACATCTTTTTGACTCAGTTGGTTTCTCTCAAAATGTAAAAGAACCCACCCACCACTTTAATCACACTCTAGATCTTGTTTTAACATATGGCATAGAAACTGAACATTTAACAGTGTTTCCTGAAAACCCTCTCCTGTCTGATCATTTCCTGATAACATTTACATTTACAATAATTGATTACACAGCGGTGGAGAGTAGACTTTATCACAGTAGATGTCTTTCTGAAAGCGCTGTAACTAAGTTTAAGAATATAATCTACCCACTGTTATCATCTTCAATGCCCTGTACCAACAGAGAGCAGAGCAGCTATCTGAACGCTAC